ATTTTATTTTTAAAAAAACTAAATAAGAATATTAAAATAAAATAAAAAAAATAAAACTAAAAGAATGAAAAAATGAAGGTATAAAAATTTAAAAAAAATGAAATAAAAAAATTGAAAAAATAAATTACTAAATGAAAAGAATGAAAATAAATAAAACTAAATGAAAAAATAAATAAAAATAAAAATTTGATCATCACTAATGTTACAAATTTCCTTTTTTATACGTTTGTATAACCTTATTTAAATTTTTACCAAAATCATTGCCTTTTTGCAATTATGCAATGTTACCTAACCTTCTAAAAAAGGCATTTAGCTAGCATTATAGGAAAATTATAAATTTTGACCGAAGTTAAGAATGTGACGAATAATATGTGACGAATATGATTTTACACTCGAAAAAATTCTTTTCTATAAGAAAATCATGTGTCACCGGTAATGATCACCGTCGGTGATTCATAGCAAAAATTAAAAAAATAAAACCAAAAAAGAAAAATAAACCTGAGACCAGAGGGAGGAAAAAAATTAAAAAAAAATTAAAAAAAAAAATTTTAAAATTAATAAAAAACCTTAAAAAAAATAATTAAAAAATAATAAATATAAAAAAATAAAAATAAAAAAATTCAAATTAAAAAAATTTAAAAAAATGAAATATTTATAAATTTATTATTCTTTATTTTAAATTTATTAAATCTTTATTTTTATCATCGCGATAGTGACCCTGAGGATCGCTTATACTATTTCTAGTATGATTTCTTTCCATAAAAATGTCCATCTGTTGTGAATTCCAATGATATGTCTAATCATTCTAGAACTACCGGAAGTTCTCAATGATAAGTTTCAATTAATTTCTCTTTTTTAGTTTTATTTAATTTTTTTAAGGGTTTCTGTAGTTTAAGGTTATCGTAGGAATTGCAACGTGACATATAATTTATTTTAAATAGAAAACTAATTTTTTTTTCTCTTTTTCTCAGGAAGCGAATTATTTTTAACTTGTTCTTTGGTCACTTTTTTCTCTTCGAAAATGACATTTAAAACTTCTTGGTAGTTTTTAACTGGAAAATTTTAACACCTTCAGGAATGTTTTCCAAATCCTTTTGGTTTTTTTAGGAATGATAAACCTTTATCAGCCTCTGATTATTTGTTGCTTTAACTGTTCCAACTTCTCAAACTTGGCTAAAAAGGGAAATAGTGCCAGTCATTCCTATATCGGTGAGAATAATCCGCTTAGTGAAGGCTGAAATAATAGCGAAAGTGATAGCAATTCCAGCACTCAGTCCTTCTTTGAAAATGACTCACTCGGAAGTGTTAATATAGGTGATATACTGGGAAATAATTGGGGATTTATTTCAAATTCTTGGTGGTTAGATTTAAAATAACTGAAGGCGACTTTAATTGATTGTTTCATCACTTCTCAATGATTTCTAGTCTGTCATCCTTTTTTCATAGAAAATCAATTCAATTTTTAGAATATCTCCACAACCACTATAGGCCAAGCCATTGACTACCCCGGTCGTAAATAGACTTGGGGATGAAAAGGTTCATAATCCCGCTTATTCAAAAATTCATGTAAATTGGAGGGAGTAATTTCCTCTCAAAGGAAAGGGTCCTTTTTAACTTAACCGAAACTTGCGAAAAATAGTATCAATCTGTTGACTTAGTTCTCAGACACCTTTTTCTCTTCTTTTTTTAGTAGTATACTCGCTAATTATATTTTTAATTGCAACTTCCTGAAAAGTAGTTATTTCATAGGCAGAGAATTTGTATTTTTTAAGATACTTAGGGGTAATATAATTTTTGGCAATCTCACTTATTCTAAGGAGGAATGCTAATTATTTTCATTCTATTCCATTAAGAATTAGGTAAATAACGAGTTTCATTAGCAGTACAAATAAACATTACTTCTGATAAATTATAAGGATTATTCTCTCCTATATAACTATCAATGATTTCCTATTAAAGATGGGGTCTAAAGCTCGTAGGAAAGCATGAGCGGGATTAGTTCAGTAATTGGAGAAAACCTAGTCCATTTCATCAATTAAAAACACTGGGTTAATTATTCCAACTTCTTCATTTTTTGGATAATTTGCTCCGACATAACTCCAATTCGATGACCTCGAATTTTCAATCGCCACTGAGCGAAATGCCAACATAATTTCTTTCAATAGCTTCCGCAATGGTGGAAACTTCCTACCCCCGTGATCCAGGTAGAATTTCTAGTCGATTCTAATAAAATCGAATTAATAAAATTAATTAAATTTTTCTTTATTAAAATAATTAAATATATTATATACTGCTTAAAAACAACCTATCTAATAATCGTGATTAAATCGATTCTCAAATCGATTCTAATTACCATACTAGCAGCGACAAAGTCGCCGCATACCAACCTAATTTAGTTATAAATTAATTCCATAAATTGGTGAAATTTTCAATAATGACAATTAATAGAAACAGTTTTTGCTTTGTATTCACCAGAATTTTTCTTTTTAGATATTGTGCAATATATTCACCAAATCTGTGATTATTTTCAAGTATTACAACATAATTATATTTCTTACGAAATTCTTCAAATATAACCCAATTCTCCAGTATAGCTTTATTCTGATAAAAATTAATTTTTCCTTGAATTACAGAAGCTGGTAGATTTGAAATATTGGAGAAATAGTTTCATTTTGAGACAAAGTAGAAATTGAAGTTTCTGAGAAAGATGAAAAGTACTTGCATTAGTAAAAACAAGTTTGAAGTGTTTTTGTTGAGTTTTATTAACATGTTGTTGAGGCATTTTCAACTTTTTTAGCTACTGTAAAAACTTGGATGAATAAAAGAAAGGGATATAAAATAAAAAACAAAAAAAAAAATAACGATTTTATAATGATATCAAAATAAATTATTTATATGAAAAAATTTTTTGTTACTTTTTTAAAAAGTGGATACGTTTTTTAATAAATATAACGAATAGTAAAACAAACTTTTTTTTAAACCATGGAAAGTTATTTAACGAGAATTTCCATGAAATAACTATTATAAATAAATATTTGTAACCTTTATCATTATAATGTAATGTATAATTTTATAAGCAGAAGTTGCAATTTATCCCATATTAAATTTTTAAATTTATTAAAATATGTAATATTAATTTAATAAAATTAGTGACCATAAGTGGCATCATCCCTCTTAAAGCCCAATAATGTTAGCTTACGTTACCCCTCGTTACATGATTTGTACTAGTAAAAAAATAAATAAAAAGATAAAAAAAAAAATTACGAAAATACCGTCTTTGTCCTTCCTTACTGTTGGCATCTAATAAGATAAAGAATAATAAGCGTTAATAAGGTTCGTCACTAATTTTAGCATTATCATATGAGATGCCGTTTGTAATGGAAAAAAGAAGCTTGAAAATCTTTTGGAGCGCGTACATTTCAGAAAAAAAAAAATTTTTTTTTTTTTTTTTTGGTAGCAGTTTTACTCGAACCTAGGGTTGGATCGGTCCGGTCCGGTCCGGTCCTCAAAATATGGACCGAGGACCGCAAGGACCGGTCCTATTAAACCGGTCTTACCAGGACCGATCCATCCCTACTCGAACCCAGTATTCGAGATTACAATGTCAATTGCTTTATACCGCTATATTATAGCAACACCGACATAATTTTTAATTTTAATTTATTTTTATATTTGACAAAAAATCTTAATTTTCTTTTTTTTTTTTTTTGATAATTTTTTTTTCAGATTCGTGATGGAGGATTGGTCTGATTTGTTGTAAGACTTTTATTTTTATTTGTTTTAATTTACAGGATATTTCTCCTTTTTTTTTTAGACGAATGATTTTACGCGAAAATTTTTCGAGTTGGATCACTTCATGTTGCATAATTAAGGTTTTAGTTCTATTTCTAAATCATTTCTTATTATTTATTTTTATTAACATATTGGATCGCTGCAAACTATTGTAATTAAAGTGGGGTTATTTTTATTTTATTCTATAGCTTCATATTCGGTTTGGCTTAATTCAGAGTAAGCGTGGTATTTATTTTTATTTAATTATAACTTTCGTTTAGTTTTCATTTTGTTTTTATTTACTACCTTCATTTTTTTTTCACTTTTTACCGTATATTTCCGCCTTTTTTTTAAATTTTTTCCCCAGACTTTTGGATCACTTCATTAATTCTTTTTTAGTTTTATTTTAGATTTATATTGAACATATAAAATATAAAGCAATGCTGTTATCGCAGTGGTTTGAGTCACGCCTAAGGTCCCCCAGTTAATTTCTAAAATTGGTTAATGTAGGAACGATTTTCTTTTTTTTTTTTAAAAAAAAAAATAAAGTTATTTAGCAGGTGATTCAAGAATGAAAGGATTAACAAGAATAAATAAATATCTAAACAATTACATTTTGGTAGATTCACCCAAATAATGGAAAATGTACTTGTTCACAGCAAACTGATGCATTTATTCAATTTATAATGCATATGTTGATCCTTTTTCATAAATCAAGTCGCAAAAGTGAATGTAAATGGCCAAATTCCATTATTTGTCTATAAAGCTCGCCATTCATATTTCCTTCGATACAACTCCAGATCATTATTCCACCACCACAAAATTTGACCGTTGGTATACATCTCGATCAGTTAAAGATTTCTTAGGTTTTCTCCAACAATACTTTTCCATCAAAGCCAAATAAAAGAAACTTTTGGTTCATCTGACCACATTATCTTTCTCCAATCATTAATTATCCAATTGCTATATCGTTTCGCCCATGCTAGTCGATTTTTTTATGGGTTTAACAAGCAAGGAAATGCTTGTGCAACTAGCCCATTCTTCCTCAATAAACGACGTATTTATTAGATCTCTAGATTTAAGTTGTGAATGCTCCTCTACAACAGTTGAGCATTTGCCAGATGTAATCAGTCGGATCATTCTACTTTCATAATGTCCATAAATGATATGCGGACGATCATTTAAATTTCCAGTCGTTTCTTTTTTCATATATTCGTAGAGATGATGATGGGCTAACATTTACCATTTAGCAATTGTTCTAGTCGAATAACACTCTTTATAAAGGTTATATGTATGAGAGCGATTTTCCTGTGATATATAAGGCATAGAAAATAAAAAAAAATTATTAGAAATGATCATATTTATCGTGGCAACATTCTTATATATAAAAAAATAAAAAACAACAAGTACTTCCTAAATGTCACTAAGCCTTTGTCTCAAAAGAAATAGAACATGAAATAGGGATAAAGTGATTAATATCTAATTAACAAAAATCAATCAGCAATAAAATCAAACGAAAATAATTACCTAAGTGCCGGATTTAAACGAATCTATTTTTATTTTTGTATAACCATCCAAAGCAAAGATATTAATAATTTGATTGTCCATTCCATTACTTTTGTGAGCCACGGTATTTCAAGCATCAGTATCACATAATACATCACACCAATTTTGTCAACACCATATTTAGCAATCCTTAAAGTGATGGAGAAGGAACAAATAATAGAAAAACGATTTAATCGAAGTTGGAATACAGATACTTTTTCGGATATATTTAAATGGAAATTCCAATTACAGATACAATATGGAGTTTTTAACGGAACATGACCATCAGATGACACGAAAATTTTTATCAATAAATCAAAGGACAAATTCTCAAATTGTTTGTTTCCTTACGATGACCAAATAATTTGAGAATACTTATTTAAATGCATCTGAACATTTAAGGTTCAAAATTTATGGATTAAAATGCAACATTGAAAAACCGGTCTGATTGTTTTATAACTTTGAAATTCTTGTCTAATTAAATATTTTGAAAGACGTATCGGTCCTGACAGGTATTGGGACCGGTGCTTCATAACATGTGATATATTATTATATCATGCAACTATATAATAATTATGTTGCGTCTAAGATTCAGCAGTATCATTAGGTCTCGACGCCAAACTATAAATCAAAATTTAGTATCATTTCGATAAATCGATTAAAAAAAGTGATAGAATCGTGTGAAAATGGAGCGCAAAGAATTTTGGGACATTAATTGTTTGTTGACATAGTTGAGTCGAAAAAATGTTTGAACAACAACTTGTTTACTTTCTGCAGGCCCCTGTCTCCTTTCTGTTACCTATATATTGTATGCTATTGGAGGGTATTTTTTTTTACACCTAGATGTTATACTTTAGAGGTTAGACTTATTTTTTTTACTTAGAGATTAGACTTAGAGATTAGACTTATTTTTTTCGTCTAAAGGTTAGACTTTTTTGTCCTTATGTTTGCAAAAATAAATCGTCTTTAGAATAGTTTCCAACATATCAAGAAATTAATGATATACTAAAATATGCTCAATATTTTTTTAATCAAGAATTTGGTATCTGAACCCAATAAATCTAACCTCTTTGAGGTTAGACTTATTGGGAATTTGATTACAATAATGAATCATCTTTAGAATTAATTCTAGAATAACATAAAAAATGGTATGTTAATTAGGCTTGCTTGGCCGAACCCAGAGCACACTCAGACACTTTAGTTCTCAGTGTTCAGGGTTCTTTTCAAGAGTAAGCAGTGTAGCATACTTTTTTCGTTATATTATTTGGAATTAAACGAGGCCCAGCGCGTTAACAAAGATGGTGTACATCAAGATCTTGAAAACTTAAAATATGGGTAAGAAGGTAGGTTAACAAGATTTAAGCCCAGTCGATTTTAAGCTTGAATTCAATATTAGATTTTGATATGTTTTCTGGTCTTGTAGATAAATTTAAGGTTCAATAAAGATTTCAAAATTTTCATATATCGAGAAAGTGGCCAGAAAAGCCACACACTTTTTTATATCTAATCAGAAATTTTGTTCCAGAATCCCCTTATTGGACTATATCACATAAAAGGTGTAATTTATCTTAATTTTGATCAGAATTATAATTTATAAAATCACATAAATATTGCATATCATTTTCTTTTTTAGTGATTGCCTTTTCACAAAAAAATTTGAATCAAAAATTTCTTTTATAATGTATGTTTTATAAAAAGACAAGTTTACTTAATTAACCAATATAAAAAATTTAATACTACAAATATCTTCTGATGTTATATATTGCATGATTATCTAATTCTAAGTTTTTATTTCATCTTTTGATTATAAATATTTTATTTAAAATTCCTTCTATATTTTACAAATTTTTTATTTCTTTTCAAAAATTATTGAAAATATTTCTAGAATTATAATTATTCTCATCATCAAAAATAAAGAAAGATTAATATAAAAGAAAAAGAAGAACAGCAAAAAAAAAGTAAACTAACTTTACAAAAACTTTGTTTCTTTACTATTCAGTAACTGCATAGTATCTATTAGGCTGTAATTAAGCTACTACTAAGTAAGGTAGTAACCATATATTTACTATTCAGTCACTTTACAATTACTGTGTATTAAGAAAACCAAATTTCTATAAAGAATATATAATTAAAATAAGTCTTCTCTTTTGTTAGTCAACATATATTCTTTACAAAAGTGATATGTATTAATGACAAATAATTATAGAATATCTATCTGTATTTTTTATTTTAAAAACTATTTCTAAATATGCTTTATTATCTTAAAATAGCTGTATTTATTAGGATTTATTTAGTCAAGTGTGTATAAACAAATAATTTTCTTATATTTTCTATATTAAGCTATAAATTTTTATCAAAAAAGTTTAACAAAAAGAAAATTACTAAGAAGTTTTAGATTTATATCAAAAAATCTTATTATTAAGAAAATAATTATTGATTTTCTTAATTTAATCTGCAAATTGTATA